GAGGAGGAGGGCGCTTCTGCCCTGCCCGTGGGAGAGACATGGCCGTGGCCGTCACCACTAAGACGGCATGGAAGCTGCGTGAGTGTCGCCCGGCTACAGAGGAGGTTCCCCCAGCGGGTAAAGGGGGCGGAAGAGGCGGTTTGTGCGAGGAACCAGCTAGCCCCTGCCTTGGGTGTGGGTGCCCGGGCCCTCTTTCCCAAGCTGCTGACAGGAATTTTTAACTCCTAGAAATCCTTTTTGAAAACATAGCTGCATAGTGTAATAGCGTAGGGGCTTGTCAGTGCTATTTTCAAAGGGTCACAGCCTGTATTTTTTCTGATTAGTTGCTGTAATGCCATCCGAAATTTGTAGCTAACCTCACATGACTCTAATGTAGCACAGGAACAACTTAAGGGAGCGATGGAAACCCTGCTCCAGAGCCCAGGCTGTAGTGGGGAGTTCCCTCGGTGCTGGTTAGCCCCTTTGGGGTTGCCCTTCATCGGGTTAGGCCCTTTGGGGTTGCCCTTCATTGCTGCTCGCTTGTTACAGAAGGTGCTCTGAGCCCTGCTGCAGGAGGGATGAGGTGATCTTTGCGGGACCTCTAGGTCTCATGCTCTTGAAATTACTTTGTAAGAATCTGCTGCTTATACATCCATTTTTTTTTCCTCAGAAGGAGCAGTAAACAGTTGCCGACTATCAATTTTTAGCTGTTTCTCTGATTACTGATTATGTATTTCATAGGGGCTGTTGGGGAATGCATAGAAGCAATGGGAAGTGATCGGTTGTTCAGAAGTGCAAGACCAGTGACTTGGTGTAGAAATTGCCTAGCAGAAATATGGTATCCCTGACTGGTAACGCGTTAAGGGAGCTGAGATAATCAACTTAGTAATTTCTTATCTTTTTGAGCGGAAAGCCAGTTTGCTGTGTTGTCTTGCCATCCCCGAAACTTCAGTTATAGGAAAAGCTGGGGGTTGATCAATCTCTATTCCTTTGTAAGCGGGTAGAAGTTTTTGATCTTCATTTTTGCTAGGCTCTGCCCCATCTTAGCATCTTCTTCAGAGCAAGAAGCGTTCTGAATGTCAGAAATGTTTTGGCGATGCTAATCAGAAGCTTAGTACTACCGAGCTGGTGGGTGATACCTGGTGATGAATACTTCATTAAAAAAAAAAGTTTGTGGGTTTAAGGAAATTGGCACTTCACCAAGGGAGCGCATGAAGCTATCTGGCCAAGGCTGGCATCAGGTTATAACCTGGCTTTTCTGAACAGAGGGTTGAATGCTTCAGCAGTGACTTTTAAACTTACAATATGTTATTAAAAACGAAATCAGGAGGAGGGGAAAAATTGGATCTGCTGACACGCTCATTTCAAAAGCAATGCTCAGCATCTGTCCTTTCAATTTCAACTAGTGAGTTGGTCTATTAATACTAATTGTACTGCTTGTTAACTTCAAGTCTGTGTGTACATAGATACTTTACTTAAGCATTGTCATATGGAAGATTGGTCTTTCAACACAGTACAAGCATATTTTCAGACTTGCCTTTCTCATGTAATTTACAATCCAGTTACTTGGTAATTTGAAAGGCGTTTCTCTAGCTAAAGTGAAAGTCGCACAGTTTTGGTTTCAAAAAAGCACTGTGGGAGCTTGAGATCAAAGTACCTGTAATTATTATTGGAGCTGTCTGACATCCTTTTGGATTAGTGTTGCGTGTAAAATGATCAAACTTTTCCTCCCACCAGAACAATCTAAACGAAAGCTGAATTGATTGCTACCTAGCCTTTTTACAGACAAGTTTCATAACTATTAGGCATGCAAATCCTGTGAGCTTCCAAAGGAGAGAACTGTAAAAGGAAGAAATTGGTAAATACATCTGCCAAAAGCCCCTGCCAAAAATTTGAGTGGATTTAAAAATCCACTATGAAAATAAGATGCCTAAGCAAAGATGCTCATTTGGCTTCTCTTTTGCCCCAAACGTGTTTCTTTATGATGAGGATTCCTTGGAATTGTGTCATTTTGAAGCCCCCAGTTTTTTAACAAACAGTCTTTTAGTATCACTCACATTTGTTCTTTCTTACCCTTTCGGGTATATATTCCCCCTGCCTTTGTCACAGTTTCACACTGTGCATTGCTAAGTTTCACCTGTGTTACATAGTGGGAAAGTAGCAAAACCTACGCCAAAGCTCAGAGCAGGGAGCTCCACCTAACCCCATTGCTGAGTCTGACTTTTTTTGCTGTGTAAGGTAACAAACTGTACTGCTGGCTAATCTGCCAGCTCCTCTCAGGTTGGATAGTCTGGTGCTGCTTTCCAGAACAGGATTACTGGGCCGGTCGCTAGATGCTGCTGCGTATTGCAGCTTCTGAGAGAGCTTGGCTTACTGAGACCCACATGGGTACTGAAGGTAAAGCAGCTTCTGTGAACAGGTTGCCACAGTTGAGCAAATCTATAAAAGCTACTGAGCTGCTGCCAGCAAGGGAAGGTGCTTTTTGTAAGCCACATCAGCACTGGAGTTGTGATGCTTGATCAGAAGATGTTTTAAGTATATCAGGCAGAGCCAAGAAGGACTGTTTCAAGCAAGATAATAGTGTGACTTCTTGTCTGAACTGTGGGCTGCTGCAGCTTGTCCAGTGGAAACTGGAAAGGTTTTTTTAGGAAGAAGATTTTTTTTTTTAGTCCATTTCAGGGTGAAAATTGTTATACTAGTCTGTAATAACTCTTTGCTTTGTTTTGTGCAGAAGAGATCACGGCTCACAGCACCAATGTGTCCTCACTAGTCCTGGGGAAAAGTTCGGGCCGGCTGCTGGCAACTGGAGGAGATGACTGTCGGGTCAACGTATGGTCAGTTAACAAGCCCAACTGCATCATGGTAAGAACAGCCCTGGTTTCAACTTTTGGGGGATGGGAATATTAATTCTGAGGTATGGGGGGATGGGGAATGGGCGAAAAAATTGTTGAGTTGTAGCCTGTGGGACTTGTGAATAGAGTTTACCAACACAAAGCTAGATCACTGCTCCAGAGAGAATCTGGGCTGGCTGCTTCATCTGTGCCAGTGCTTGCTAGATAATCAGTATTCTGCCTTCCATTGCCAGGCTAAAGATAATTAAATGCAGAGTTTTGTATGAGATCAGCTAGTTTTATAGTGCAAGCTACAGGGGCCAGTTTTATACTCTGGAGTTTCTCCTCATTGCAGGAAACGTGCCCAGCAGGATGCATTCCCACCTGTCCCACAGTCACTAACTGTCGGCACAAAGTTTGTCGAATAGTTTGCTAACTTGCCTGTAGGCTGAGGAAGAGTAATGCGGGGTGCAGCATGTTAGAAAGAGTAGGGTTACCCCAGTAGTGAGCACTAAACGCACCATAAATATGTTTAACAGATGCCTATCCTGCTTTGCTTTTGCTTTGAGTGGGTGTTGTGGAAAACCATCTTTAGCAAGTGTCCCTTGTCACTTGTTCAACTAACAACACAATAATGTTGTGTTATGGAAGGCATTTCTCTAGCCAGTGTGAACCTTGTGAGGAAGAAATCAGGAAAGCAGGGTCAAAAAGGCTAAAAGGAGAATGTGTCTACTTTATTCTTCCATTCATTTACTGAGGTCAAGTATAAGGAGGTTGAAATGGGTGCAAAAGGAGTTGCTCACCATTGGCAGTGTTGTGCTTCTTGCATAGCGTAGTTAAGCTTTGTCTTTTCAGTCCCTTGGTGGTGGCATGACAGCAGTTGAAACTGGAGTATTGCCTTGCGTGAGAAGGAAAGTTGAAGCACTAGATGTATCCAGACCCTTTCTTTGGAAGCAGAAAGTTGTAGCTCTCCTGCTCTGCCTGGGAGCAACAGATTTTAGAAGCTGGTGTTTCTGAGAGGCAGGGACTGACTGGAGCTGCTGAGGACTTGTGCCATTCTTGTATATCAAAAGAATCTTGATTTTTTTTGGGGGGGAGGTGTTGTGCTGCATATTCATATTTAGTGGTTACATTCTTAGGATTCCAGACGTGTATGTGTTGGGGAAGAGGGAGAAGAGGAACTTTTCAAGTAGCATTGTGACTTGCTTCAAGCGTGAGCTCTCTTTCTCTCCAAGCAGTGACAGTTCCAGCTGTAGAGTACATAGAGGATTTCAGTTGCATGTGAAATCCTAAGAAAGCCCCATCAGAACAGGCAGCTTTCAGATGGCGTTCCCAGCCTTTGGATGTGTGTGGGAGGCACAGAGCTAGCTTAGCTATTTAAAAAGACCTGTTTGAGAATGGAGTAAAACATAGAATATTGCTTAATTGACAAACCAAAAGTCTGCAATAGTAGTATTTGTTTTCTGGAGCTAGTTTTAAATATTATTGTGTTTTAATTAAATAAAAATACATATTGTCAAAATACATATGTAATTTGTAAACTTTTAGACGCTCAAGGATGAAAGGAACTGCATGCATGTGAATTAAGTTGAGGCATAAGTTAGTAATACTTCAGTAATAGCACCACGTTATCACCGTGACACCCATTGCTGGCAGCAACATATGGCTCCTTGCTTATGTGAAGGTTTCGAAGTAGCCCTGTTTTTGCTCTTGCTTTGATTTTGTAACCGGTTCATGACACTTACGTGACCCATTTAGAGCAAACACAGTGCCATTGCGCTTGCACAGCATCATTTTTATAATGTAAGCGTGTGTCAACCTTGTCTGGGCATCCCCACCTAGTGTTTAACTGCCCATGTCTCTGTTGATGCATCCTTTAAAAATTAGTCAGCATGCCTCGAAAAGTGGGATAACGTGGAACATACGTGCACGGTGCTGTATGCAGTGATGGTCTTTAGGATGCTCTACTATACTGGTAGCTGATGAGGAAAAAGGACCAGTGGCACGACCAGGTCGTCCCAGCTCATGGCTAAATACTTTAGTTACCAATCGAGTACGAGCATTGTGGACAGGGCTGTGTCAATAGCTGTTGATTGTGACTGGTGGTTTTCTTTGCAGAGCTTGACAGGCCATACAACACCCATTGAGAGCCTACAGATCAATACGAATGAGGAACTCATTGTTGCAGGGTCCCAGTCAGGGTCCATTCGAGTTTGGGACCTGGAAGCTGCCAAAAGTATGTTTCCTTGAGTTTTCACTTCTGACAATGTGCGCTTTTTGGAATATCCTTATGCTTAATATCTATGCTGACCCAGAAGGTTCCTGACTTAAGAAGGAACAGGTGCTTGGTATTGCTTTCATCTTAATTTCCAGCCCTCTTAGAGGGCTTTTGTGCACTTCTACTGAGACTGTAGAGCTGTGTGTGCATGCTCGAGCAGAAATTTCTCCGTGTATTGTGGAGACTGATCTGAGGAACTAGTTTCTAGGGTTTTGACCTGAGCGTGTTGAAATCTATATTCCATGCATGTATAGAGTAACTAGGCATATAGAATTTGCATTCAGAGTTTCAGCATTAAATTGTCAACCTTATAAAAGAATCCACCATCAGATCGGAAGTTTTAAGTATATTAGGCTCTGCACAAGTCCAGGAATCCCTCGCTTGCTGATGTCTTGTTCCTGTTCTTAGGTTCTAACTTTTATTTTGTTCCTCAAGTGATTTTTCTCCTCTTCTGTTCTTGCATGACCATATAAATAGACAAAGACCTAACTTTTAGTAAATCGTAAAAACTATGAATTCATCGAGCTCTGATTCTTTAAAGGTCAACTGTTGAGTCATGTTTTATTTATTGCATTTTTCTCAAACCCTAGAACAAGTTTGCAATGGTGTCATGAATCACTTGAGTGCATTCCATACTGCAAAATGACTGAATATTTTTTTTATAGGTTGCTACTTGTTCATAGGAAAAATGTGTATTGAAACTACTTACATTGACTGAGCTAAGAAGGCAAACGGCAGGTGGCATAAATAATAAAAATCACTTTTGTTATTCAGACAGTTCAGTTATAAACTGGCTTTACCAGTGGAGAGTATTTATTTATTGCCTGAATTTATTAGGAGACCTGTGAGCCAGTGTCTGTGCAAATGACCACTCCAGGTCTGGCTTAAGAGCTAATTTCTGCCAGGGGAGTCATCAGACTGTTCCAGATGACAGATGATGGAGAGAGATTGCCCCTGTTATTATCTGAGCAATTTTTCTTCCTCGAAGTTGAGTTCTGTGTTCGTCTCTGCTTTCAGAGATATGGTGTACCAGTTCTACTGGTCCTTTCTGGTTTCCAGAATTACAAGCAGTGTTGCTTGCTGATGACTTGCGGAAACACTGTGATCATTTCTTTGTCTCGTGCTTCCTGAGTGTCCTTCCTGGTCTGTGGGATGCTTCTTGCAAGGGGCGACTGAAGGAGTCCAGGGTGAATATTGGAACGTAAAAGGTGGAAGTCAGGCTTGTGCCTGGATGGGGGTGCAGAGTCCCAGGAAAGGGTCTGTCTAATAGCTGCAAGGTGAACAATACAGGCAAGCAAATGTCCCTTTCACTTCCTGGCTAAAACTGTGGGTCACTGTCCCTGTGCCCCCCCCCCCCC